TTAGCCGACTGATCCACCCAGATGCCCCAAGGAATATTTCTTAATATGCAATCAGTTTACATTTTAAAGTATTTATTATTTTTTTAAGTTTATTTATGTATTTTGAGAGAGACAGAGACAGCCCAAGTGGGGGAGGGGCAGAGCGAGAGGGAGAGGGAGAACCCCAAGCAGGCTCCACACTGTCAGCGCAGAGCCCGATGTGGGGCTCGAACTCATGCAACTGTGACATCGTGACCTGAGCCGAAACAAAGAGTTGGATGCTTAACTGACTGAGCCAGTCAGGCACCCCAGTTTATTTATTTAATCTCTACACCCAACATCGGGCTCGAACTCACGACCCTGAGATCAAGAGGCGCACATCTTTCCTACCGAGCCATCCAGGAGTCCCCGTAAGATAGGATAGCATTCACCCATAAAGAAAAAGAATAAAGTGTTGGTGTGTATAAACCTTGAAAACGTTACGCTAAGTGAAGTAAGCCGGGCCAAAAAAGCTAAAACTTGTAAGAGTCCCCTTACATGAAATACCTAAAACAGGAAAATCCAGAGAGAGAGAAAGTATAATAAATGGGGGAAAGGCGGAGTCGTTGCCTCATGAGGGTAGAGTTTCTGTTTGGGGCACTGAAAAAGTTCTGGAAACAGATAATGGTGATGGTTACAAGTGAGCTGGCTACACTTAACGTTGCTAAATTGTACACGTGAAAAGGGTTAAAATGGGAAATTCTGTTATGTATATTTTGTCACAACAACAACAACAACAAAAAAGACGAGGGCACGGTTCTTGCACAGCAACTCTTCCAGGATATCATCGGGGGTCCCGGAGAGGACTCAGAGTCTGGGGAACGTGCCCCCCCTCAAAAAGGCGAGTGTCATCAGTTAGTCTCAGAAGTGGCGGCCGCGTGACAGTGATATTGGAGGCTTTTAATTGCTCCTGAATTAATGTGCTTACTTCCCACCCCTGGGGCGCCTGGGTTTAATTACCATCCTAGGTCACATATGCAGATGAATCTGCTGTCATCCCTGGTCCCAGTGGACAGCAGTCCTCCAACTTGGCAGCAGGACGGGCAGGAGGAAGAGGGGAGGCTGCTGGCCAGGCTGGCCTGCCGTTAGAGCCGACGGGTGGAATCGGAAGAGGGTGGTGCAGGGTCACCCCATTTCTGGGTCTGGATGAGCTGGGGCGTTCAAGGTCTGTGTCAGTGCGGAAAAGCCCGGGAGGCCCTGAACTCCCAGAGCCCTTGGGGATCGAGGGTTTTCACAGAAAAGGAAGAAACTGGGAAGGTATCAGCCTGTAGAAGGGCCCGTGGAGCAGGGTTGCACGTTTGAAAGCCGAGGGGAGCTGAGCAGGTGTGTAAGTCGGGGAAGCAGAAGTGATCGGCCAGCTGCTGCCTGCACACGGGCCGGGGGTGGCCGACCTCTCAACCCGTTAGAACCAGAAAATGGATTTTTTTACAACAAATCTCCTTTTCAGGGGCGCCTGGGTGGCTCAGCCGGTTAAGCGTCTGACTCTTGGTTTCTGCTCAGGTCGTGGGATCAAGCCCTGCATCCTGCTCTTTGCTGCGCCTGCTTGGGATTCTCTCTCCCTCCCTCCTCCTCTCTCTTTGACTCTCCCCCTCTCTCTCACCGCCCCCCGCCCCGTCGCTCCCTCTCTCGTGCTCACGCTCACTCTCTCTCTCAAAATAAATACATAAACTTTAAAAAAATGCTTAAAAAAAATCTCCTTTGTAGATTTTGACAGCTAATTAGAATGAAAAGAAAAAACCACTAGGTTGCCTGAGCCCAAGGGGTGGGGTGGAGATCGGGAAGGGGCTGGAGGAAGTCTTGGGGGCGCTGGAAATGTTCTGTGTTGTGACCGTGGCACAGATGTGCCCTGTCCCTGAATGCGAATTAGACCTGGGTCAGGTCGCTGAACCTCAGACCGGCTCAGTGGTGCCCGTCCTCGTCCCCGGGGGGCTGGCAGGGCCCGCTGCAAACCCTCCCCTTCCGGTCCCTCCTGGCCACGATGCCTTGCACGCTCTGAGGCCCTCCCTCCCTTCCCTGTGCCCCCCACCTCTTCTGAGGTGAGGAGCTCTGTGCCTGTTTAACTGCGGGGCCTGGCTTGGTGTGAGCAGTAACCCGGGAGGCAGCACCGCGGCATCATTAGCCCCATTTTACAGATGGGGACGCTGGGCACAACTGGTCAGTGGAAAGGCCAGAATCCAAAGCCGTCCAGCTCCACCTGTGCTCTTTTTTTTTTTAATTTTTTTTTTAACGTTTTATTTATTTTTGAAACAGGGAGAGACAGAGCATGAACAGGGGAGGGTCAGAGAGAGGGAGACACAGAATCTGAAACAGGCTCCAGGCTCCGAGCTGTCAGCACAGAGCCCGAAGAGGGGCTCGAACTCACGGACCACGAGATCATGACCTGAGCCGAAGTTGGCCACCTAACCGACTGAGCCACCCAGGCGCCCCATTCCACCTGTGCTCTTGGCTACTGCACTCTGCCTCTGTGTTGGCCACTGCGAGGGCCGACAGACAGAGCGAGGGAGCAGGGGGAGGGCCAGAGAGACAGGGATAGAGAGAATCCCAAGCAGGCTCTGTACTATCAGCGTGGAGCCCAACGCGGGGCTCAAACTCACAAACCACGAGATCATGGCCTGAGCCAAAGCTGGGTGCTTAACCGACGGAGCCACCCAGGCGCCCCTCAGATTTTCTTCTTCATGTTTATTTTGAGATAGCGCAATGCGCGTGCACAAGTGGGGAAGGGGCAGGGAGCGAGGGGAACAGAGGATTTTAAGCGGTCTCTGCCCTGAGAGCAGTGAGCCCGATGCAGGGCTCGAACTCACGAACCGTGAGATCGTGACCTGAGCCGAAGTCGGACGCCGAACCGACTGAGCCACCCAGGCGCCCCAAACTGCTTCAAATTTTCCATTGATTTTTGTTCTGGCGTCAGAGTGGCAGGAGGCTGGAAGATAACCACAGGCGAGAAATGTATGTTTTGTGGAAAAGCATTTGTAATACGAAGTTAAAAAGGGAAAACTCATAAAGTCCAGAGGCTGCTGACAGAATGCTGACAAAGGTGTTTACTAAAAAGCACTTGCAGTTCCTGGAACACTTGTGATCCAGAGACATTTCACATTATAGGCCAGCAGAAGGCCCAAGACTGGCTTTCTAGAAACGGAGAATTAATGTCACCTGACCTGCTTGACTGGGCTCCTCGGAAAAGGTCCTTTGGGGTGTGATTCTTCCCGGTCCACGCTGGGCCATGAACGGCCCCAGCGCCACGCCGGCAACCTTCTATATAGGCAGTGCGCCTCTGAAAGGGGTCCTACCTCCACCTGCCCTGTGACCGCAGTGGTAAATGCCTTTATCTGCTGTTGCTTTAAACCAGTGTCAGTAAACGAGGACACTAAACCAAATTTGGGTGCTTTAAGGTTGGGCATCGAATTCTAGTAAGACTGCCAAGCCTGGTTGAAGGAAGGCTTCCTTTCCCTCCAGAATCAATTCCAGAAGCCAGTCACTGACATCCGGACGGGGTGGTTTCGGCCACGGGAGTTATACCACACGAGGTGGAAATAGGACTTGGTTATGGATATTTGGAGATTGGAGAGTGGACAACGGGCGGTGGCTTTGTGGCCTGTCAACCTGACTCTGATTCCTGTTATTCTATCAAATACGAATCTAAGTATTACGGTGAGGCTATCCGGCAGACGCAATTAGCCACCGGTCACTGGACCTTAAGTAAATAATCGCAGAAGACCTGGGTGTGCAGAGAACCGGGATTTCCTGACTCAATCAGTTGGGTCCTAAGGGCAGGGCCTAAAGTTCCCCCAAGGGAGAAATTCCACCTGTGAATCAAGGTTTCACCTGTGCCCGGGCTCGGTCCTGACGGGCTGCCCCATGGACTTTGGATTTGCCCGGCCGTGCCCCACAGTCTCAGAAGCCAATTCCTTGTGATAAATCTCTTGATGTGCCTTTTCCCACTGATTCTGCCTCTGGAGTTAAATCCAAACTAATAAACAATAAATAAAAATGCCCACGAGGAGGCGTCCTAGTCCTCAGGCTGGGGATTAAAACACAATTCGAGGGGCACCCGGTGGCTCAGTTGGTTGCGTCTGACTTCAGCTCAGGTCAAGATCTCATGGTTCCTGAGTTCGAGCCCCGCGTCAGGCCCTCTGCTGTCAGTGCAGAGCCTGCTTTGGATCCTCTGTCCCCCCAACCCCTTTCTCTGCTCCTCCCCTGCTCTGCCTCAAAAATAAACATTAAAACAAAACAGAACAAAACCCACAATTCGAGACTTGACCAAATAAGGGGAAGAAAGAAAACACGAGATGCTTCCAAGGGGCAGAGAGTAACCACAATACTTCATCTCTCAGTTCTAAGTATATGTACCTCCTCACGCTCGGGTGTTCATGAACACAGTATGGGTGCTTTCTGCAGAGCTGAGCAGTACACAGCGCTGTGGGCATCACTACGGGTAGCTTTTAAGCAGCGGAAATATTAGGAAGAACGAGGAATGGCATTAAATTGTATTCATCTAAATGGGATTCCAAGGCCTTCCAAACGCCCTCCCACCTCCCCACAGCTGCCGTTCAACTATCCTTTTACCTTCTTCCCCCAGGAACCCAGAAACCACCTTCCAGCTTGCCCAGGATGGTTGGCTGTGCTCTATCCAGCAGGCCTTCCGGTTTGGACAATTACAGGCTCACGTGATCTAGAAGCCACCACCCTGAGGTCACCTGTAATAGTTCTGTGTTTGTATTTTCTCCCAAGTAAGAAGTCATGTTCTGCTCCCAAGAAGGACTCTACTTCTGTTCAAGGATACAACATGCCCCCCTTCTCCTTTTGCCTCAAATGCCCTGCCCAAGGACTTATGAAATGTCCTCAACTCCTGTCCCTTTTTGTCATGACACAAAGCATCCCAACTCTTGCAGGCCTGTACCCCAGTGTAACACTCCATGAACACTCAAGACATGACAAATGGACAGACTCAGAACGTTTTACACACACACACACACACACATTTCTATGGGTCACTGAGGCCTTTTTATTCTGCAAACAAAACCACTGGGGATCTCGCTGTGGACACCTCGTGATTACAACATACACAGACTCAGCTCCAGACACTTGGTGGGAAGTGAGGTGAGAAAACACTGATCTGGGCCAATCACATGATTATAGAGCTAGGATTTCCAGCAGGGTTCCAGATGGTCAAGCCTGGCTTCTGCAGCGGTTCTAAGGAGCAGTGAGAACATCACAGGAAGGGAGAGGGCATTTGACTAGCAGAGGCTCCGGCTGGGGGCCTCGAGGTGCCCGGGGGACGCCAGAAGCAGAGATCTAATGAGCCGACTCAGGACCGCAGAGCTCGGGGTGTGTCGCCCGGAGCTTACTTGGCGAGGGGGTTTCTGAAGCTTCTGCCGGCAAACTTGGCCTTGCCACCCAGTTCCTCTTCAATTCTGGGGAAGCAGAGGACAGAGAGGAGGGGGTGAGAAAGAGAAGTGAAATCTCCACCCCCAAGGCCTACGTTTCCCACCCGGGGACCAGGCCCCGGCACTTGCCCAGCCTCCTCGATGCGGTCCTCGGAACTAGCAGGAAGACAGGAGCGTCGGGCCCTCCCCGTCCACCGGCTCCCCCAGCAAGCAGGCCACCTGCTGCCCCTCAGCCTTCCCTGCCTTCTCTGCCCCCAGAGTTTCCCAAAGACAGACTAGAAGATAGGTCAAGACCGCTACTTCTTGGAATATAACAAAAACGCTCTTTAACGAAAAGACAACCCAGTCTCTTCGAATAAATGGCATGGGGACAAAAGGAGGGAAGGCCCTGAATGAAGCGTTTGCATCCTGGTGTCGCACCAGGGGAGACGGGCCCCAGGAATGCTGGGCACGACTGTCATGGCACGACTGTGAACCCCGGGCACTCTCACAGCACGGTGGTTACATCACAAAGTAAACATAACTGTTATCTCTGAGACGTGTGCTAAGGTATTCACAGGTGAAATCATATGGCTGGAATGTGCTGAAAATTCTCCAGCCAAAAAGGCGAAAGGCAGGCGGACGAGAAGAAGCGTGCATGAGTACCAACAGCTGCCGTATCTGCGTGGCGGGGAAGGGCGCGTGCTCTGCCAGTCACGTTTTGTTTAAGGAAAGGGTAACATGGGCAGAGCTACGAAAGAGAGATTTCTTTTCCTGCGAGACTAACAAAAGGGACAAAAAAGGAGGCAAGTCTCCACGTTAAGGAGGCTTCCACGGACACGTTATGATAAAAAGGGACCAGATATCCAGAAGCACTGAACAGTGGAAACCTTCCTGTTGCCCTGAATTTCCTTCTTCGCTGAGCCCCGGTTTCCCGTCCACAAAACACGGCTGCTGAACTACGTATCCGCTGGGGATCTCTCTTAGCTCTAACGGCTTTGTGATTGTCTGAAGGGGGAGCCTGTTCCCTCCTCCACCAGAAGGTGGCAGCACGGGACCGGCTCCAGCCTTGGGGCCAAGGGGCAAGGTTCTCCGCCCAAGTCACCCACGACCTGACACGGGGCCCCCCGCCCCGCATCTACACACGCCCCGCAGAGCCAAGAGCTCCCAGTGCCCCCGGGCTTCCTCTTTACCTGAGGATCTGGTTGTACTTGGCCAGGCGCTCAGAACGGCAAGGTGCACCTGTCTTGATCTAGGAAGGGAAAGGAAAGGTCACGTGTGCTTGCCGTGCACTCTCAATCTTCGTGGGCGTTCTGGGCGGGATTTCTGACCCTAGGAACCAGGGGATGAAGGGGCATCCGGGACCCCGTCCGCCTCCCCCCTTCCTGCTTGTGCTCGGGCAGCTGAGGTCAGAGAAGCTCTTTACCTGCCCAGTGCAAAGTCCCACCACCAGGTCAGCAATGAAGGTATCCTCGGTCTCCCCGGAGCGATGCGACACCATGACGCCCCACCCGTTGGACTGGGCCAGCTTGCACCTGAAGTCAGGAAACAACCCAGATGGTTGTGATGGCGGGACTCCACTTCCAGGGCACAGCAGCCCCTCCTGAAGCCAGGGGCTCGCCGCCCCTGGTAGGAGACCGTGGGAGGGGTCGGAGCCAGGAGCTGCCACCAAGCTCTCAACTCCTGGGGATGACGAGAACCCCCACCTCTCTCTCCAGTCACAGAGGACTGAAGGACCTCCTGAGGACCTTCTCAGCCCTCTAGGTCACGTTTACAAAATAGGGTCTAGCCTCCTTGAGGGGACAGACCTGTTCTCCTGACCGCGCC